TTCCCCATTTCTTGTTTTTCTGAGGTTTGTCAAAGATCAGATGGCTGTAGATGTGTGGTATTATTTCTGAGGGCTCTGTTCTGTTCCATTGGTCTGTATCTCTGTTTTGGTACCAGTACCATGCTGTTTTCGTTACTGTAGCCTTGTAGTGTAGTTTGAAGTCAGGTAGCGTGATGCATCCAGCTTTGTTCTTTTGGCTTAGGATTGTGTGAAATACAAACTTTAAGAAAATCTCTGGTGTTACTGCCGTGTATATTTTAAGAAACATCTCTACTATCTAATTTCTATAAAGCATTCTCTGACACACAGACACACCCTTGCCCATCTTCTCACATCACCAATTTCCTAGTATCCAGCTCTACTCAAATATGGTAAGCCTCCTGTCTTATATTCTTATTTGTATGCTTCCCTGCCCTACTGAGGCATGTTCCTTGAAGGCATAGACTGACTTTTATATCTACAGTGCTACATGTAAGAAGCACTCTAAGAAGAGTAGACCTTGAATCTGTTAATAGTACCCTTACTATTCACTGTGGAAGAATCAGAATACTTGCCCTGCATTTAAAAAATCAACCTGTAGTTCACAACAGCTGGTAGTCAGAGGGCTAGGCCCTAGACTCAACAGTCAGACTTAATGTATGGCACTGATTTTTATTAGTTTGACCGATTTAGACATTTCACAGGCATTAGCAAATATGTGATTAGGGTATTCATTACATTTTAGCCGCAGGATTTCATTATAGCAGTTTTTTTTCTAAAGGACTGCTGTGGTTAATGATCTGTCAACATTTCCATTATAACCATCATTGTTAAAGAATAATTTTGCTGTTTCAGCTATTTCCATTTGAAAGTTGGCAGTTTCTAAGCACAGAATTAGTTTTTGAAAATGTATTAGGCTGAATGTTAAATGGAATTGGCCTTTACTTTTCCCATTTTTGTGTTTTGGAACACTGAGCATCTTTCCACACTCTGCTTCAGCCACCGTGAATCATAATCACATTTGCTCTTGCTTGAAAGTGAATAGAGCTTCAGTCATCCTTCCTGTTCCTAAGTTCCAAAGTATTGTATATTCCTGTCTCCTGTGTTCAGTCACGTCCTACTTTCTACTGAACCTTGTATAGAAAAATGTGTATCAGTAAAGCCCTTTAGATCTGAAGCTTGGTAATTGATATAGAAATAATTTTTTTTTTCTTTCCGAGATGGAGTCTTGCTCTGTCACGCAGGCTGGTGTGCAGTGGCACCATCTCAGCTCACTGCAACCTCTGCCTCCCAGGTTCAAGTGATTCTCCTGTCTCAGCCTCCTAAGTAGCTGGGATCACAGGCATGTACCACCATGCCAGGCTAATTTTGTTTTTTTTGTTGTTTTGTTTTGGTTTTTTTGAGATAAAATTTCGCTTTTGTTGCCCAGGCTGGAGTGCAATTGCG